TTGGACCCAAAGGTACTTTTCCCCTGCGCTATATCCACAGTCCTTTTATTTTTTACTGAGAAAGGGTCTTATTAGGTTGCTGAGATTGACTTCAAACTTGCAATCCTCCTGCCTCAGGCTCCAAAATCACTGGGATTACAGACCACCATGCCCCCCACAATATATTTTCATATAAACACATCAATTCATTTCCCCCAAGTCTATTTAACAAATACGTATAAATCTAACTTCATATTTATTGAGTTCTTTTATTGAGAAGAAAAAGTTCCAAAAAGACACTAAATGTTTTGATTGTGCGTGTGTGTGTGTGTGTGTGTGTATATATATTTGCCAATACTTTCTCACTTCCCTGTCACCATATGCTGCTTCTCTGATCAAAACACAGAATTCATTTCCTCACCAGGTTGAATATGGGCTGGCCTATGACACTTTGACTAACAGAATGTGGCACAAGTGACACTAGGACTTCTTGACTTTTGTCTAAGAAGCCTTGCAACTTCTATTTTTGCCCTAGGATCAAGCCTATAAAGAAGTCTGGGCTAAATACCTGAACAATAAGACCATGTGTAAAAAGAATTTCAGCTACTCCACAGAGGAAGCAAACACAAGTGAAGACATTTTGGACCTGCTAAACTAAAACAAGTTCAAAGCTAAATACAATTGTGTAATCCACTCCAACCCACAACAAATGGAAAGAATTAACCAGCTGAGCCTAGATAACCCGAGAATATGAATTAAAGAATTGTTGTTTTCAGGGTGGATTGACATAAATACTTTTAACTTTAAAGTATTTGGATCAAATAAAGAACTTAATCTACCTTTAAATCCCAAATTGTATCTACAAGTAATTCATGTTCTTTAGTTTTCAGTACTCCTTTTATTTTTTAAATAATTTAAAAACATATTCATTCAATTCTTCAGATTTGTAAAATTATTGACCACTACACTCATTCCAGAGGAATGTCATTACTGTGTACATTTGCCAAACTCTGTTATTAAAATTTTTACCTGAATAATTTTATTTATTCCTAGCATAATTCTAGGAGGGAAAGGTCTGTATTATTCCTGTTCAACGAGCTGAAAAATAAAACTAAGGCTCAGAAGTTAACTACTTTATTTAGGGTCAAAGAGAGGTAGAGCTTGAATTCAAACCCAGACCTGTCCAACTTCAAATCCTATTTTGTTGTTATTGCTATTGTTGTTTGTAATGCTGGGGATAGAACCTAGGGCTTTGCACACCCTAGGCAAGCACTCCACTACCAACTTACTCCAGCCCCCAAAGCCTATTTTCTTAATTAAGTTTATATTACAGATTTGCTCATATCAACCTTATAAAAACCTTGCTGAAGAACACCAATAGCTCTTTGGCCCACATAAAAGACTTCTTTAAAAGCAATACATCAGTCTAGATGCTCCAAGGCCTCAATAGTAATAGCAACTTCCTCTGGGTTCGAGCTACACCAGCACCTTCCTCAGGAGACACTTGCAGCCACCCAGCCACTGCCCAATGGTAACCATGTACAACTGAAAGGCACTGATTAAAAAATGCGGACATGTGGGAAGAGATGCAACAGGATCCTGTGAAGTGTGCTACTCAGACATTAGAGAAATATAACAGAAAAGGATATTGCAGCCCACATTAAGAAGGAGTTTAACAAGAAGTACAACCCCACCTGACACTGCATTGTGGGAACTTCAGTAGTTATGTGACACATGAAACCAAACACTTCATCTAATTCTACCTGAGCCAAGTGGCCATTCTTCTCTCAAATCTGGTTAAAAGCATGGATTGTGCCATACACCCAGTGATCCATCCAAAAATAAGAACTAAAGCCTAAATCCCAAATACCACAGACTGAAATCTTCAGCCTTGCTAAGGGAATAGCTTGATCTTGGAACATTTATTGTGTTTTTTTAAAATTATGTAATTGATTTTATTTTTTAAAATAATTTATTGTGTTTTTATAGGGCATTCCCTGTACTAGTTTGTTGTGATTATAAAACAATTAGCAAAATAGCTTACATTTCTATTTATTTTCTATCCCGTACTTCTGTGCCCCATGTTTTTTCTCTAAATCCATTCCTTTGAAAAATAAATCTGTTGGAGATGTTTAAAAAAAAAAAAAAAAAGCAATACATCAAATGCTTTATTTCATTTGGCATATATTTGTTGACAGTCTCACTAACTGGAGACATACTGAAAAATTTAACCATATTATATATGGCTCTAGAAAGTGTAACAACATTTTCCCCTTCAATGCAGAATTGTCAAAAGTTATTTAACTTGTTTCACAGCCAAATAATATCAAAGGATAAAGAAGAGATGTGTCAGAGTATGCTTTCAATAGTTTGGTCCACCTCACCATCTCCTATCAAATTTATATTCTCTCAATCATATACTATTGGTCATTCTTCTCTTATCCACTTGAAATGTTCTATGTCCTCCCTCTCTGCTTTCCAAAATCCAACCTCATCTAAGAAGCCTCTTTTGATTATGCCAGTCAGACATATTCTCTTATCCAGGTCACTTATAATCCACATCAGTGATTTCCAAACATGGCTAATTAAAATCAGCTGAGGAAAAAAAAAAACTAAAAAATAATATCACTTGAGGGATATTAAAATTAAAAAGACCTAAAATTAGAAGTTACACTTTGAAAAAGTAAGACTAAAAGCAATCTAAATAAATATCAAATTAGGACTGGTTAAGTCAATATGGTAAATGATGTGAATATATGAAACAATCTCCAATTTATATTAAGTGAAAAACCAAGGTACATATCTGTGAAATTCTACCTTGTGTGTGGCAGGAGGAGGCAGTTCTAGGGACTGAACCCAGGCCACTGCACATGCTAGACAAGCACTCTATGAGTGAGCTACATCTCCAGCCATTTTTTTAAACTTGATATTGAGACAAGGTCTTGCTAAGTTGCCCAGGCTGAAATTGAATTTATCCTCCCACCTCAGTCTCTTAAGCAGCTGGGATTACAGGTAGGCGCAACTGTACCTGTTGAAATCCCACTTTTTAAAAGCTAGGTAATATAAGCTTATGTATGCACAGTAAATGTCAGAGCATTAAAGAGGCACTTGAATGGTTGTCCTTGAAGGGGGGGGGTAGTTTGCAAGAAAACTTTCCATTTGATTACCATTTGTAATTTTTAAATTTTACATTCTATGGATAGATCTTTTTGGGGGGCAGGGTTGGGGGTACTGGGGATTGAACTCAGGGGCACTCAACCACTGAGCAACATCCCTAGCCCTTTTTTGTATTTTATTTAGAGAAAGGGTCTCACAAAGTTGCTTAGGGCCTCAATAAATTGCTGAGGCTGGCTTTGAACTTGTGATCCTCCAGCCTCAGCCTCCTGAGCTCCTGAGATTATAGGCATGCACCACCAAGCCTGGCTAGATCTTTTTTTTTTTTTTTAATTAAAAACAGGGTTGGGGATATAACTTAGCAGTGGAGCACTTGCCTGGCATGCATGAGACCCTGGGTTCAATCCTGTAAAAAACAAAATTAATTTTCTTAAAAACCCACATGGATGCCCAGGACTTTCATCTCATCTCTACTGATCAAATTCTCTAGGGGTTGGAACCAGGCTTTCTTTTTTGTTTGTTTGTATGTTTTTGTGGTGCTGAGGATCAAACCCAGGGTCTCATGCATGCTAGGTAAGTACTTTACCACTGAGCAATACTTCAAACCTGGGACCAGGATTTTGAAATGTTAAACTACCCAGATGATTCTGATGATCAGTCAAGATTTGTATCACCTATCTACACTACTTACATGGTACTTAATGACTCAGATAAAAATAGGGAGGATACTTCACACCTTCACTTTTTTTGTTTGTTTTCTTATAATTCCTAGAGAGGTTACCTAGTAAATAATTTTTGATGCGGGCTGGGGATGTGGCTCAAGCGGTAGCGCGCTCGCCTGGCATGCGTGCGGCCCGGGTTCGATCCTCAGCACCACATACAAACAAATGTTGTGTCCGCCAAAAAGAAACCTAAAAAATAAATATTAAAATTCTCTCTCTCTCTTTTAAAAAAAAATAATAATAATAATAATAATAATAATTTTTGATGAGAGTAATGCAGAACTATATTCCACTTTTCTATTATATTTCATTTTAGAAACACTTTTCAAATTCATGGCATTGTTGAACAATTAAAAATTATCACTTTCAAGGGGCTAGGAATATAGCTTAGCATCTACAAGTTCCTGAGTTTAATCCCCAGCAACACACACACACACACACACACACACAAACACTTTCAATATTGGCTCTGCACTAACAATAAAATTGTCTCACCAACTTTTCTTTTATTGGTGTGGAGAGTATCCAGAGATTGAACCCAGGGATGCTTAACCACTGAGCCACATCCCCAACTCCTATTTATTTATGTTTTGAGACAGGATCTCACTAAATTGCTTAGAGCCTCACTAACTTGCTAAGGCTGGCTTTGAACCTGTGCTTCTCCTGCTTCAGTCTCCCAAATCACTGGGATTACAGGCTTGTGCTACCATGCTATGCTCAAATTTTCTTTTTTGAAGGCCACAGTTATAGATTGTAAGGGTAAGTAGTGAAGTGCAAACCTAAGACCCTACACCACAAGGACAAGCCAGCCATGATGGCACACATCCATAATTGCAACCATCTGGGAGACAAAAGCAGGAGAATCCTAAATTCAAGTTCAGCCTTGGCAACCTGGCAAGACCGTTGAACAATAAAAAGGGCTGGGGAGGGCTGGGGTTGTGGCTCAACAGTAGAACACTCGCCTAGCATGTGCAGGGCACTGGGTTCAATCCTCAGCACCACATAAAAATAAATAAAATAAAGGTATTGTGTCCAACTACAACTAAATAAAAAAAGGGTGGGGTTGGGGATATAGCTCACTCATAGAGCAGTGCCCCCAGTTTGTTCCCAGTACCACCAAAAAAACCAAAAATTTAGGGACATACTTTATAGTTTACATGAAGAAAAAAATAAACTATGTGGAAATCTGATTCCAAAGAAGCCACATTTTATTATTACAGAGAGAAAACAAAATCCTTTCCTCATAAGGAAAAGTTCTGTTCCCCTTTTTCAGAGTGCTAGAGATGGATGCCTCTTCCACAGTTCCCAGCTTTCCGATCTACCGATACTTCCCATGTCGGTTAAAGTGCTTATAGAGATAGCTGATACGTTTGTTAAGGTTATGCAAGTCATCAAAGAACATTCTATTTCCAACCATTTTCTTCTTCCGGATACAACGCTGCAATTCGTTCCCCTTCCAGCCTCGAAGCCATATGGGGCCCTTGATTAGTTGTTTGGGGTGCTTTTCAAAGTTCCCTGTGTAATGTGAAAGAACATATTAGTACCAAGACAATAGAACCAGGCCTAGACCAGCTAAGCCTTCAACCCAAAGTTGCATCTTCTTGAGCAGCACCTTTAAACAAGACATATTATGGTACAGCATCAAGAGCACAGACTTTGGAGTCAGAATGCTTGGGGTTCAAATTTTTTTACTAGCTTTAAAAAAATTACTTAACCTTGCAGTTCCTCAGTTTTCTCACCTGTAAAACGGAAAGATTATGAAGATTAAGTGTATTAATTCATGTAGGGCACTCAGAAAAGTATGAAAACAGTCATACGATGATTCTCTACACAGGTGAAAAAGACGGTAGTTACTGTGAAGTAGCCCTTCTGAAATTCGTACCACATAAAGCGTCGAGTCTTACCCAGGATCCCGATGTTGTCATATACTCCGAACAAGGCCCTCTTCTCGTTCCACCGATCAACCACTTTGGGGGGCGGGAGGGTGAGCCTTATACGGATGGTCAATCGCGGAACACCTTAAGATGGGGAAGAAAAGGAATGAATCTGAGCTGCCTATTAAAAAGCAGTTCTCCAAGCACCTTTCTACATTAGCTACTTACCCATAGAGAAGCTTCTGCATGCGTAGGGCATCCAGCCCCACAAGCTTCTACCTGCCCAAGAGAGAACCCCTGCCATTACTCTAGACTGTCTCTCAACGGCATACCAAAAAAGTCCCAGTATGAGGGCCAGACGTGACCTCAAAAGAGATGGCACCGTCTCCACTGGCCTCACACAGGTACCAGGCAGGAGGCGGCCATCTTGGCCCTTACCCAGGCAGCTTTGGGCGCAGTCCCCGCCTCTCCCAATCACACAAGCCCCACCCTCCGAGTTCGGGCAGACAGAGGCCTGGACAACCCACCCAGCCTAGTACTTCCGGCCTATCCACCGGAAATTTTGGAGCGCTACAGCCAAGGGAGGTTACGGTTCGCTCTGTAGAGCTTCCGAAAATTGAAATTGCAAGAAAATTCACCCATTCCCGTTTCTTTCAGCGTCCTTCAACTGTGAAGGAGATGAAGGATCAGAACCTGGAACCCAGAGCTTTGGGAATATTAAAAGACCGAGCCCCTTTCTCTGTGCATCATAACAGTCTTGGGCTGTAGCTGTATACTACCCTCATTTTACAGAAGGAGAAATTTGAGGCTCAGTGACTTGCTGGACATCACATAGCGGAGGAATGGCAGAAACTTGAATTAGAGCCGAAGGCTTCTAACTCGCAACTCGGATTTGCCTCTCATCCTGGGGGTGACTGAGTGGGTCGCTATTCCAAAGGCTGTATCACTGTCCATCAAGGAATGCGACATCTCTGGCAGGCGCTCCTAGAGCCTCCTCCCAACAACCGAGCCGAAGGGGACCGTGTACAGCAGGAGGAAGCCTCACCGCGCGCAGGGCGTGGAACCTGGGTCTAAGCCCATCCCCTCTGTGGATGGTTCAGGCAAGCGCTCAGGGAACTGTTTTGTGATTGGCCGCCGCTCTAGCGAGCGTCGTGATTGGCCTCCTTGCAGCCGTTGGTATTTGAACTCGATCTTAGCGGCTTTGCCCGCGCGGCGCGGGGCTCAAAGGCGGGTCTTTGTCTCAGCCTGCTGTGGATTGGTCGGGTTCTCCGCCAGCTTGAAAACTGACTTTCTGATTGGTGCGTTTTCTGTACTCGTGTTTTCTTCCTGCCATTTCTACTCAACTACCCGAATCCGAGGAGTCGCGTGTAAGGTTCACAGGTGAGATGTGGAATTATGTGGGGTTGAGAAAATCAGCTACAGGGCGCGGTATAACGCAGTCTTTAACAATATGCAATAGGCAGGGAGGTATAGTAGACATATCCTTGGGGTGCGGTGTGGTAGAAACTGTGACAGATCCAGTCTGTGTGTAGTTTGTGCAAATCGCATAACCTTAATTTCCCAATCTGTACAGTAAATTGTATTATCATGCCCTCTGTGGGATTGCCATTAGGAGAGTAAAATCGTGTATGATTTATTCGGATAGTCTAACAAAACCTGATATAAATAAAAATGTTACTGCAGATTCTCACATTCTGAAGCCTCTAACCCATGGTCGGCCACTGTTCTGGTCTCTGATGGACATTGTCTTATACTTAAGGAACTTTGCGCATCAAAATGGAAGTATAATGCTCACTTTATGCATTAGTATGCCACTTTGCAATTCCTTAAACACTTCTATAGCCTTTGGTTTATTTCCTCCTCAGAGCAACTTTGAGATGTAATCAGAAATTAGTAACCTCCGGTTTACAGATGAGACAGACGGGATTAAGTGAGGTGACCAAGTGTTAGAGTCATGATAAGAATTAGATTCTAGTTCAGGGTTGATCTTACATCCTAATGTTATAAGCTGGTTGTAAAACTAAAGAATATTTTATGTTGGAGATGGGGAAATAATTGAAACAAATGAAAAGACAGGTCTTAGCCCCTGATATTTTTGCTGTTTGGTTTCTAGCCTTGTTAGCCAGTGGAAGAATATGTCTCCCCAACTGTATGAGTTCCATCTGCCTTTATCTCCTGAGGAGTTGTTGAAAAGTGGAGGTGTGAATCACTATGTTGTGCAAGAGGTACTGCCCATCAGAAATTTGCCATCCCAGCTTAGAGGTAAGACTTCACAGCTGTCATTGTACCCAGCACTTCATAACAATCATTCCATGCCTGCTTAGGCAGCACATATACTAAAATTGGAACGATGCAAAGAAGACTAGCTGGCCCTTGCATAAGGATGACATGCAAATTTGTGAAGCATTCCATATTTCAAAACAAAAACTATTTCATGAGTAATTACACTGTACTGAGCTCTATCCCCAGCCCTTTTTATTTTTTATTTGGATCTAGGGTCTCACTCACTTGCTTAGAGCCTACTAAGTTGCTGAGGCTGGCTTCAAACTTGGAATCCTCCTGCCTCAGCCTCCCAAGTCACTGAGATTACAGGAGTGTGACATAGTGCCCAGCTACAGTAAACTATTTTTTTCATGTAAGTAGGAATACACTCTAAAATAACAAAAGTACAGTACAGTAAACACATATGCCATCGTGCCCAGCTACAGTAAACTATTTTTTTAATATAAGTAGGAATACATTCTAAAATAACAAAAGTATAGTAAACACATAAACCAGTAGCATAGTCATTTATTATCAAGTATTATATATAATTGTATTTGATGTATTTTACATGTACTGTACATGTGCAGTACAATAAGCTTGTTCACACCAACATAACCACAAACATTTGAATAATGCCTTGGGTAACAATATTACAGTGACTACAGCACCACTAGGGGACTTATAGGACCACCATGATGTATATATGTTGTCTGTCATTGACTGAAATGTTGTATGCTGATTGTATGTATGGTGTAGTTGCCTACAGAAACCTATAAATGACCAAAAATAACTTGTGTTTTGCCAAGAAGACCCCATAATGTCACCGTACCTCTTGAAATTGCTTTATGTCAGGTTGCTTTGGAGAGGTACATTGAATAAAGACTTTGGAGCCAGACTGCCCAGATTTGAAGCTGACCTTGGGCAAGTTACTTAATTTTCTCTATGCCTCTGCTTCCTCATCTATAAAGATAGGGATAATAATCTGCTTCCTTTATTGTCTGCTAAACAGAAAGGATAGGTTAATGCAGCAGCTTGATTATATGACAACCATGATTCAAATGCCAAGCGGAGATAGGCTAGAATCATTCTGAATTACCTGAAGATCTTGAAACACATATTTTCAGATTGAATAGCTCTCAATAGGCCTTTTTATCCTGCATTTCTAGTAAGCTCCCAGATCATGATGCTAATGCTGCTGAATTAAAGACCACATTTAAAAAAATATTTTTATTAATCGATGATGAAATTTTTTATTTTATTTATTTATTTGTATGTGGTACTGAGAATCGAACCCAGTGCCTCACATATGTTAGGCAAGCGCTCTACCACTGAGCCACAATCCCAGCCCAACACCACATTTTGAGGAGCAAGACCCTAGCATAACCTATACCATTTCTCATCTGACCTTTTTTTCCAGCTCATTCCATTCCACCTATATTGGCATTTTCCAATTTCTGGGCTTTCGAATTAGTTTTTCTCTGCTTGGAATGCCCTTCCTAAGGGTCTGCATAAATCATCTCTTTATTTCCTTAAGGTCTCTGCTCAAATATCCTTTATCAGCCGGGCATAGTGGTGCACACCTATAATCCCAGCGGCTCTGGAGGCTGAGGCAAGAGGGTCATAAGTTCAAAGCCAGCAACTCAGTGAGACCCTGTCTCTAAATAAAATACAAAATAGAGCTGGAAATGTGGCTCAGTGGTTGAGTGCCCCTGAGTTCAATCCCCAGTACCAAAAAAAAAAAAAAGTCATCTATCACCTAGCCTTCTGTAATCATTTAATATAAATTATCTGCCTGTACTCTGGCATACCCTATCTCATTATTTTATGTTTTCTCCTTGGTCCTTATAACTATTTGACATATTCCAAATTTTCTTATTTATTACTTATTGAGATTCCTTGAGAGAAAGAACTCTTGTTATTTTGTCTAGTTGTTTATTGTTATAACCCTAAGTGCTTAACAATGCCGACAAATAACATATCAGTTAATACTTGCTCAATTAATTAAATGATTTGATCTTTGGTGTTTATAATAGAAGTCATGCTTAGATTCTAAACACCAAAAATCATAATAGCCATACAATTTTTCTAAAATGGACTCCCAGCTGGGTGTGGTGGTACATACCTATAGTACCAGGTACCTGGGAGATTGAGGTGGGAGGAATACCCATATGTTTCATGGTTTGAGACCAGCTTAGGAAACATAATGATACCTCTTCTTAAAAAGGGGGAGGGGGGCACTGAGGATATAGCTCAGTTTGTAGAGTGCTTGCCTTGTATGCATAAAGCCCTAGGTTCAATCCCCAGCAACACGTTAAAAAAAGAAAAGAAATTCTTAGCTGGTGATAGAGTACTTGTGTAGTATATGTAAGGCCCTGGGTTCAATTGTGAGCCCTACAAAAGTCATGCTAAAATAACCCTTAAAAAGAATGACCATTCATTTAAAAATATATACATATACATGCACTATAATAACTCAAGAATAATTTGCTATAGTGTACAGCTGTATATACCCACACAATATAGATAGAATGGTCTATCTATGGACACTGTTGATGTTAACTACCCATCAGTCATTCTCCACACTCCACTTTGTTCCTTGTTGGTTAAATGATGATTTTCCAGATTTAGAGAGGCTCCTAGATAGTAATCTTGATCGGTTTTACCAATCTTGAGTAATTCTGTTTCCATCACTAGTAATTAGAAAAACAAGCACATGATACAATTTTGACTAAGTCTGTTGGGAAGCTTCTGATAAAGTTTTTAAAAGAATAAAAAGTATAAGACAGAAAAAAAATTTTATTCTACTTCTGGACATCAGATCAAGGGAGAGATGCTAATAAAGATATAGATTTGGGCTGGGGATGTGGCTCAAGTGGTAGCGCGCTCGCCTGGCATGCGTGCGGCCCGGGTTCGATCCTCACCACCAATACAAACAAAGATGTTGTGTCTGCTGATAACTAAAAATAAATTTTAAAATTCTCTCTCTCTCTCTCTCTCTCTCTCTTAAAAAAAAAAGATATAGATTTGGGGTTGGGGTTGTGGCTCAGTGGTAGAGTGCTCGCCTAGCATGTATGAGGCCCTGAGTTCTATCCTCAGCACCATATAAAAATAAATAAAGATTATTGTGTCCAAATACGACTAAAAATAAATATTTAAATATAAATGTATATGTATATAGAGTAAGATTGTATATATACATATATAGATATATAGAGAGAGAGATTTGTATGTACAGGCCAGGCATAGTGGTGCATTCCTGTAATCCCACTGGCTCAGGAAGCTGAAGCAGGAGGATTGTGAGTTCAAAGCCAGGCTCAGCAGAAGCAAGGCGCTAAGCAATTCAGTGAGACCCTGTCTCTAAATAAAATATAAAATAGGGCTAGGGACCTGGCTCAGTGTTTGAGTGCCCCCGAGTTCAATCCCTGGTACCCCAGCAAAAAAAATAAATTTATGTACATATACAATCACATTGCATTCAATCATGAGATTGGGGTGAGTGTAGATGGTGAAGAGAAGCAATTTTGTCATTGAACATCATTGAATATACTTACACATACAAAGATAGCTGCTATATCACTAGGTGATATAATCTTATGGGACCACTGTCATATATGCAGTCCATGGTTGACTGAAACATCATTATTTGGTACATGTCAAATACTTATTAAATTGTAAAGGGGAATATAACTTTACAGGGAAGAAATGTGGCAAATGATACCAAGTGATCAAAATATCACCAGTAATAAGACATTGCCATCATGTTCCTTTTCTTTTTTGTGGTGCTTGGGGATTGACCTCAGGTGCTTATGCATTGTAGAGAAGCACTTGACCACTAAGCCTTTTCCCTAGTCTGCCATCAGGTATCTTTTGATAAAACAGACGAGAAGGACCCAGACCTTCCTTTTGTGGTTGACTTGCCAAAAATGTATAACTTCAGTATAATCATGAGGAAACATCAAGCAAAATAACTGGGCAATACCTTTTTTAAAAAAGTCAAGATCATGAAAGAGGAAAATTGGGAAAGACTAAGGAGACATGTCAACTAAAGGCATTGTGGATAGAATTTACCAAAGAGGCCTCTCCCCTCCGCATTGATCAATTTCTTTCATCTTTATAGTATTTCAGTCTGCTTTTCGAGCTCAAGGGCCCCTTGCTATGCTGGAGCACTTCGATACTATCTACAGCATTTTACAGTAAGTAAAATTCTCTGGCAGTACTTTAAAAAGAACTGGTAGCTATTTGCCCTAATTTTGCATATTCATTCTGAAATTCCAAATTGTAGGTTCACTGATAAATGGTTCTGGATGCTGATATCTCTACTAATAAGCATCTCTGCCCAGCTCACCATCATATTTATTACAGTTGAGCAATTTCATGATTTTTTTCAAGCATTAGATTCCTTAGGTTAGATCTGATCTGTTAGAATGGCTCTGCAGGTTCTCACCTCCACACTTTCTTTCCCTCATAGTCACTTTCGAAGTATAGATCCTGGCCTCAAAGAAGATACTCTGGAATTCCTGATAAAAGGTGTTTATGGGTCAGGGGGTAGGGGATGGAAGGTTTGTTGTTATTTGTTTGTGTGTTTATTGTTTCCTATATTTTATCAGCCACATGATGATATCAAGGCTGTTGTGATTCAGTTGGTTTGGCTAAGCCCGGGAACCTTTGACCTATTATGGTCTGTAATCTTGGTGGGTGATACAGAGTTATGTGCATTCACTGTAAGGGCAGACCAACAAGAACTTTCTCCTACTTTTGAACCACCTCTTTTTAATAGGGGTGATTCTTCCAGTTGCCAGAGAGAAATTGTGGTAACTGGAGTGAGGGTAGAAACAGGGCATGTTTGAGATATCAGGGTCAGGGGTTTCAAAGGACTTAGCTATGTTTTGACCACTGAGAGATGAAACACAGATCTTTGGTAATCTGATGGCTGCAGTGATGGGTATTTTGAAGTTGGGATAGATGAAGAAAGTGAATGAAACCAACTCCCATATTCTGCCTCTCACAGTAGTAAACCACCACTCCCAGGAGCTTCCAGCCATCCTGGATGATGCAACTTTGAGTGTATCAGATAGAAGCGCCCATTTAAATGTGCTCAAAATGAACTGCTATGCTTTGGTACGCCTTTTGGAATCCTTTGAGACCATGGCCAG